AACATCTTTTTAAGTGGGTGGATGAGGCTCTGTATGAAGAGATTCAAAAGATGGATGACCATCAAGCGTTCATGGCAGAAGAAATTGAAGATCTGCGTGTTTCGTTGAAGATGGTGGAAGAAGAAGTTATGAAGCATAAAGCCTCTCGAGATGTTGGTTGTGTAGGATCCATTCTCAGTATTTTATGTCTCTGTTCCAATTTTGATTGATATTTTGTAATGTTTTTCTATTTCTATGTACATTGAATAAGAACAAGTAATCGATTTCTAGTGTTATTGACATGTTTCAAAGACATCTAAATTCAATATAAATCAAAAACACTGCTAAAATCAACATGAAACGGATCATGAATATGAAAGATAACTTGCAGAAAAACAAAAAACAGAGGTTTATGCATAAAAAGCATTCACAAAACAGTGGTTTAAATGAAAGAAGAGAGACCCACGTTCAAGGCAAAATATATTAAAAAAAGAAATAAAAATATTTAGAGAATATTTACTTTTAGATTTTGTTAGATTTTCGGATGGTGGCTCATAAACCGTTGGTAGAAGATACATTCTACCAAATTTTCCATTAGTTTAATCAGTGGAAACGTAATCCCACGGGCCTAGACAAAACATTAAAATTAAGAAGGTATGTTCTGCCAAGGTAGACGCATGGGTCTTTATTATATGTTATGTTCTACTAAAACTGCATAACAAAGAAGGAATGTCAGTTATCATATTCTTCAATCGTAGATGTATATGTTTTTGGTGTATTACGCATTCTAAGCCCTCTAGATGGATTAGTTGTTAGTAGATTGTACACTCTAAACAGCCGTAGATGGTAGATCCGATTTACTACCCGATTTATCTAATTTTTGAAATTACTATTCCAAACATTTTTAGAATCTAAAAATATTTTTCATATATTCACATGCTACTCTATTTCATATTGTATATTTTTCCTCAATTTTTTACCTTGTAAATTTTTTACTTTGAATTTTTATATACAAAAAGGGTAGTGAAGGTCCAAAAGTACCAAAATTTGATTTTATTCTAAGGGGATAATAGTTGTGTTTTTCGGTCCTCTTTTGGTAAATTTCCCAAAATTAAACTCTACTAGCAGAACCAACCACTACAAAATCTTTAGAAGATTATATTTGCTTATATATTTTAAGTGATTTGAAAATCTAAATAGGATTTATCGATCTTGACATGTTGATTTTAATTAGTATTTATAGTACAGGATTTTTTCGATTTGAATTCTTATAGTTCTAGCAAAGAAATCTTTGTAAATTCCTTCAAATCTATTGATAATCAAATCGATTAGCAAATCTGTATAACATTATTTAAATTATAATTTATAAATCATTACATAATAACGCATTTTTGAGTTAGGATTTATAAATCATGAAACCAATAACACAAAATTTCAATATGAAATTTAAAATCATATATTGAATAACATTATTTTCATTTAGATTTCCAAATTCATTAAAAATACATAAACCAATAGCTCCAATTTATTAAACTCTAATGTTTTGATTACTTCAAACCAGATGTTGTGGCCATTGCCTCTCGTTATATCATAGGCCTTATCTCGATCCCCTGGAGAATCAAACCACTCTTGTAATTTCTCTTCTTAATCTCCACAATAGAAAACTCAATCTCATCACCATCATCACAACCACCATCACTGATGTAAAAGCTCCCAAGCTTCACTTCATTCCACCCATCTCCTCTCTGCTTTGGCTCCTCCACACTCTCACTAGTCTCCCTTTCTTCTTCAACTTCTTCCATCAGTGTGCCAGAACCACTCGAGTAACAACCACGATAACCACCGCGCCGGTATGTATCCCTTGGTTGGAGTAACACAAACGTTTTGCTAGCTTCCTCCCCTACAAACCCGACTTGAGCTTCCATGGGCGTGTCATCTAACCCGCGTGATCCATAACTTTCTATCTTGACCACTGCGTATACAGAGTAATGTGTCCCCTTGGACAGCATTCCGCAACTTATCTTGCTCCGAATCTCAAACCAATACACGTAACGAAGCTGCGCTACTTTCTCAAACCTGATTCCACACACAAATATTAAATAAAATAAAATAAAATATCATAAAATCCCAAACTGCATAGTTTCTCTAGAACTTACTTAGATTCAGGAACAGTATTCCATTGCCAATAAACAGAACAATCACTCCATATGATATTTAAATCCATTGCAGATAACATGTAACACTTCTTCCCACTTCCTTTCTCCAACCAAAACATCTGTTTTTTTTCAAGAATTAGATAACTTAAAAATGAAACCCTAAAAAAAAAATGAAACCCTAATTTCACATATTTCCTGAATCAGATTAGATTAAGTTTCACACCTTTTTCCCGTCGTCGATTAGAACGGAATCATCAGTAAGAGACATATACATCTCTTTCTTCGACGAGAATTCTATCGACCTAGGAACAAGAGACAAGTACTCCGCCGGAAGAAACTTCTCCCAAACCAAATCTGATTCAGCCGCCGACTTCATCGTTTTCGAAACCGAAGCCACAACGCAAGCATCTCGTGGCGATGTATGGGAAACCACTATTGAGATGCATTCTTCCGGCAATGCATCCAACCACGCCGCATCGTTCGCATCGCTGTCTTGATTTCGCTCCATAGCGTTTTTGGATATATTAGTTTTGTTCTGACTTGAAGAGTATCTTTTCAGACACGGATGTGATGTTTTTGTCTTGGACAGGAAGTGGATGTTTCTTTTATATATGTCTGGTTTCTTGTAAGACTTACGAGTTAAGATTTTTGAATTTCCGGTAATACGTGTTACGTTATAAGTGTCACTCTACAGCTGTGCACACGGATTAAGGAAACAATTAATTTTACATATTTCCTATATAAAAACACAATTACCCATATACCTAACCATATTTTAACCAATAGAAAAACACATTACATAATAAAATTAATAATTTTTGCATTGAGAACCGAAAACAACACTTATTTTGTAACACAAAAAATTCTCTACAATGACACTTAATATGAAACGGAGGGAGTAGTAAGTCAAAACGATTAATATAGAAGAAGATTTTTTGTTGACAAAAGAAAAAATAGAAGAAGATTTTTTATTTCAGAATAAAAGATATTGTCTTTATCTAATAAATCAGTCAAAACTAGTAATATAGTAAATGTAAGCTGTTTTATTCTGAAAGTCAAATGATTCATGCATCTAATGAATCTTTGTCAAAGATCAGATCTATTATTCTCGCTCACCTCAGTAAAATGTACACGGTTTTATTTTTAAATCGGTCGGCCATACGTAAATTTTCGTAGCATGACTCAGATAATAATACAGTTAGGTGTGATCATCATAAAATAGATAATATTATCCAATTGTCTATACAATTTTTTTTCACAATTGTAATATTATAATAAATCAGCGTTATATAATTTTTTTTCATAATTGTAATCTATACTATTATTTAAGAAGTAAATTTGCTTAGTTGTCAATCTCTCCATAATTTTAGGTAATTTTGCTTAGTTGTCAATTTTCCATAATTTTAAGTATTTTTTGATTTACAAAATAAGTTAATTTTATGTATTAGATTGTTATCTTAAAATATATTTTTCTATCGTAACATTTACATAAACTTTCTGATTGGTTTGTAACTTTTCAGAATAAATTTGTTTAGTTGTCAATTTCTCCATAATTTTAAATAATTTTATTTATTTGTCATGTTTTGATAATTTTATATATAACTTATTATACAACAAAAAATGAACTTATATTAATTTTCTTTTTTAGAAAATAAGTTAGTTCTTATGTATTAGATTGTTATATTAAAAATATATTTTTCTATTAGAAAATTTCTATTAATAATATTATCTTTTTAGAAAATAAGATACTCTCTCCCTTTCAAATTATATGATGTTTAGATTTTAAGTTTTTTTTTGAGGTTTTAAGGTTTGTTTTGAGGTTTTAAGGTTTGTTTCAAAATATAAGATGTTTTGAAATTTTAAGGTGAAGTTTAATTTTATTAGAAAATGTTCAACCAATAAAATTTTACCGTCTTTTTATAATTAGTTGAATGATTATAAATTATATCTTTGAAAGTATGTAAATTTCTTAATTTGTGTGCATTAACCTAAAATACCATATATTAAAAAAACAGATGGAGTACTTCTGATGTATTATATTGTTATCTTGAAAATATTTATCTATTATAGAAACAAAAGGTTAAGATATAAAAAAATTATAATTAATATAAATCAAGCAAAACATTTGTATGAATATATTTTAGAAATTCTGATGTGTAAAGGTTGTCATTTATAATTAATATTTAAAACATAAATCACACTTATTAAATTGTTTTAAATTAATAAAATATAAACTAAAAAGTATTCGTAAAAAAATTATGTCCGTATGTGCGGGCAAAACACCTAGTATTATAATAAATCAGCGTTAAAAAGACGATCGATCATAAGTCTAAATAACTTAAAATTCTACATCAAAACTCTTATGGAAAAACATATCAGTGTCTAACAAAAAAATGTTAACTTGACATCATCATTTGGATATGGACAATAATATTGACAACTTAGCCAATAATTTATTTATTTTATAAAGGCCTTGAAATTGTAAATTAGAGCCCATTAAATAATGAGATATATATTTTTACACACTCATAGTTCTTTCGTAATATTCATAACCAGAATCACCAAATTGGTTTTGTCCAAATCATAATAACTATAGCCTAAGCCCTTTACCCTTTGTCCACTTAGGTAATGTTAATAGAGCTGAGTGACCAATAGTCTGGTAGTGGGTATCAGTAATCCGTCTATCTTGGCACCACCCAAGCCTGGAATCTCCCCAAGTATGAGGTCAAAAATATGTTTCTTAGATTTAATCAATTTCGAATGAATTAAAGTTCTTGAGAAATTTTGAAGGAGCTTGAACATATATTAGTTCTCTTTTTATGAGATTAAGTTGTTGACGTTCAAACATTGGTACACAAGATAAATAATTCTAAAACTTCTTAGTTTGCATATCAAACACTCCAAACTGTAGCAGTAGCAGCCAATACAAAAAAAAAGCTTTAAACTCTATTGATCACTTAGCTATCACCATTTCTTCAGTCTTAGGCCTAATCTCGATTCCCTGGAAAATCAAACCACCTTTTCTTTTCGAAGCCTCCATAATAGAAAACTCAATCTCATCATTATCATCACAACCACCATCGTTGATGTAAAAATTCCCAAGCTTCACTTCACTCCACCCATCTCCTCTCTCCTTGGGCTCTGCCCTAACCTCTATAAGCACCGTTTTCAGCGAATCACTCACGTAAAGATAACCATCCCGTCTTGGTTCGAGTAACACTAACGTTTTGGTAGCATCTTTCCCCACAAACCCGACTTGAGCATCCATGGGCTTGTTATCAAACCCGTATGATCCATCACCCGCTCTCTTGAACACTAAGTAGACAGTGTAATGTGTCCCCTTGGACAACATTTCGCAACCTATCTTTCCCCGAATCTCGAACCAAAACACCTCACGAAGTTCTGCTACCTCCTTAAACCTGATTCCACACACACACACAAGTATAAAACGCCAAAGTGCACAGTTTCAGAACACAGAGGCTAAAGCAAAGTATAAATAGAGAACTTACTTAGATTCAGGATCTTTCTTCCATTGCCAACAATCAGGCCAATCACTCCATGCGATCGTCAAATCCATTGCAGATAACACGCAACACATCTTCCCACTCCCTTTTTCCAACCAAAACCTCTGTTTTTTTTTTCCCCAAGAATTAGATAACTTAAAAAATGAAACCCTAATTTTTACACATTTCCTTAAATCAGATTAGATTAAAGTCTCTCCACCTTTTTGCCGCCGTCGAACAGAAATGAATCATTAGCGATATACATATACATCTTCTTCTTTGACGAGAATCTCATCCACGGAGAAACAAGAGAAGAGTGCTCCGGCGGAAGAAACTTCTCCCAAACCAAATCAGATTCAGCTGCTGACTTGACCGTTTTCGAAACCGAAGCCATAACGCAAGCGTCTCGTGGTGATGTATGGGAAACCACTATTGATATGCAATCTTCCGGCAATGTATCGAAACGCGCCGCATCGTTCCGGCTACTTCTTGCGCCTGAGTTCGCATCGCTGATTTGATTTCGCTCCATAGCGTTTTTGGATATATTAGTTTTGTTCTTGTCTTGGAGAGTATCTTTTCAGACACGGATGTGATGTGTTCTCTGTCTTGGACACGAAGTGGATGTTTCTTTCATATATATATCTGGTTCGTGTAAGAAGACTTACGAGTTAAGATAATACCCTAATGCTTGTTACGTCTTTGGATTAAGATTTATATTCTTCAGATTTTTATCTAATAATAAGTCAAAACAACTAATATAGAGGACGATCTTTTTTTCCACAATAGAAGATTTTGTCATGATCTAATAATCAGGTCTTAACAACTAATATAAACCGTACTAGATCATGACCCAGGCACCTATGCAGGTTTATTTTCGGTTGTATTTTATATAATTTATTTTTATATAGTTTCGAGTTTGTCCAATTCAATTTTTTGTTTAAAGAACAATATCAAAACTGTTTTTTTTTGTATAACTAGCGTCAAGTATTGTATTATGTAGATGTAACTGTGTAGTGAAAACACTAGTTCTCTACGTTTGTTTGAAGTAAAAATTCAAATGCAAACTTAACTGTTTACGTTAAAAAAAATAAGTTGAGAGTTTAGTTACTTTGATGTTAATAATTATCCAAATTTTTAAAAATAATATACAAATTTCTAAATTTTTTGGCCTTACTTTATTTTAGAATTTAGGTCAAATTCAAATTTAACTTTAGTCTTGACTTTGCAAGTGCGGAATATTTTATAAAAAAAATTTCATAAATAATTTCAAAATACTTTGGTAATTTAAAAGAATTTATGTATTTAAAATATTTTTGCATTTAAATCAGTATTTTTAAATTCAACCGAACTGCAGTTAAACAGGTGATCCGATAATGCAATTTTTATTTTTTAAAATATTCATATTTAAAAAATAATTTAAAACCTGATACTAACCGATTGAACTAATGGATAACTGATATGTAATATTTAAACTTGTAAATATAAGTATATTTTCGTTGTTTATATGTTATTTGAATTTTTTTAATTTATCTAAATAATATGAAAGAAAATTGTGAGAAATTATTAAAAAGAGTGAGATCTAATATTTTGTATTGTTTAAACATAAGATTAGTTATAGTGTTGTTTGAAATCATGTATGGTAGTATAAATAAATGAATATATTCTCTGGACATAAGATTAATTATAGTGTTGTTTGGAAATATGGATAGTAATATAAAAAAGTGAGTATTATTTTTGGAAACATGGATAATAATATAAAGAAATAAATATGTTGTTTGAAAACATAGATAGTAGTATAAAGAAAGAAATATTACTGATTTGGTGTAGATTTAACTTTAAAATATAAAGATGTATTTATTTTAAATTTTTACTAGATTTTTGATCCGCAGTTAAAAAGCGCGGATACCATCTTTATATATTACTCAGAGAGAATCATTGAAACAAATGCGTTCACACCATAATTGATATGCGTTCAAAATTCCGAGCTCTAACTAAACCAATTAAACCTGTTGAGTTTATTTTTGAAAGAAACTTCAAAAATAATTAGAAGGTCAATTTGACACGTTAATAAAACTCATTAGTACAAATATAATTTTTAGGCCCAGAAAAAAGACCAAATTACTATTAAGGAAAAATTAATTTTGTTCATAAAAATAAGTGTAAAATTGAAAAACATAAAAATTCATTAAAGATAATGATTCTATTTTAATGATACTGATAAAATAAATGTTAAATCTAATTTAATGTTTCTGATTTAATAAGATTGATTATTCTGAAAGTCAAATGATTCATGCGTCTAATGATTTTTTGTCAAAATGCAGATCTATTATTCTCGCTCACCTCAGTGAAGTGTTCACGGTTTTATTTTTAAACCGGTTGATCATCTGACGGTCCAAATAACTTCAAGTTCTACATCAAAACTGATATGGGAAAAAAAAATTAGTGTCTAACAGAAAATGTTAACTTGACATCATCATTTCGATATGGACAATAATATTGACTAACTCAGGCCCGGCTCAAACAGTTAGTGGGCCCAGTGCCACAGTAAAAAAATTCTTAAGTTTGTAGATCATTTTGAAAGTTAGACCCTTGATTCACAAAAAAAAATCAAAATTCAGGGCCCTAAAATACAAAAAGCTCAAAATTCAGGGCCCTAAAATGACAAAGAAATCTGAATAAAAATAGTGGGACCCTGTGCCCTTGCTCCCTCAGCACTCCCTAAGAGCCGGCACTGGACTAACTTAGCCAATAATTTATTTTATAAAGGTCTTGAAGTTGTAAATTAGAGCCCATTATATAATGAGATATTTATGAACACACTTACACTTTTTGGTAATATTCATAACCATAAGCCCCAAATTAGTTTTGTCCACAAATCAAAACAACTACATAGCCTAAGCCCTTACCCTTTGTCCACTTAGGTAATGTTAATAGAGCCGCTGAGTGACCAATAGTCTGGTAGTGGCTATCAGTAGTCCGTCTATCTTGGCACCCAAGTCTGGAATCTCCCCTAGTATGAGGTCAAAAATGTGTTTCTTAGATTTAATCAATTTGGAATATATTAAAAGATGTTCTTGAGAAATTTTGAAGGAGCTTGAACATATATTAGTTCTCTTTTTTGAGATTAAGTTGTTGACGTTCAAACATTGGTACACAAGAAATTATTCTAGAACTTCTTTCTTTGCATATCAAAAACTCCAAACTGTATAAAACAAACTTTGCTAGCAGTAGCAGCCAATACAAAAAGCTTGATTACTTAAAATCAGATGTTTGATCACTTAGCTATCACCATTTCTTCAGTCTTTGGCCTTATCTCGATTCCCTGGAAAATCAAACCACTCTTCCAATGTCCCTTCTGAGTCTCCATAATAGAAAACTCAATCTCATCATCATCATCATCATCATCACAACCACCATCGTTGATGTAACAATTCCCAAGCTTCACCTCACTCCACCCATCGTTGATGTAACGATAACCACCGCTTGGTTCGAGTAACACAGTCGTTTCACTAGCATCTTTCCCCACAAACCCGACTTGAGCGTCCATGGGCGTGTCTTTGAAACCATGTGATCCACGCCTTGCTATCTTGAACACTAAGTAGACAGAGTAATGTGTCCCCTTGGACAACATTCCGCAACCTATCTTGCCCTGAATCTCGAACCAAATCACGCCACGAAGCTTCACTACTTTCTCAAAGCTGATTCCACACACACACACAAGTATAAGATCATTTAAACTCCAAACTGCACAGAGGCTAAAGCAAAGTATAAATAGAGAACTTACTTAGAATCCGGATCTTTCTTCCATTGCCAACAATCAGGCCAATCACTGCATACGATCTTCAAATCCATCGCAGATAACATGTAACACATCTTCCCACTCCCTTTCTCCAACCAAAAGCTCTGTTTTTTTTTTTTGTCTCTCACCAAATCAAGAATTAGATAACTTAAAAATGAAACCCTAATTTTCACACATTTCCTTAATCAGAGTAGATTAAAAGTTCACAACCTTTTTGCCATCTTCGATCAGAACGGGATCATCAGCGAGAGACATATACATCTCCTTCTTCGAGGAGAAACCAAACGATCAAGGAACAACAAGAGAAGAGTACTCTGTCGGAAGAAACTTCTCCCAAACTATATCAGATTCAGCTGCTGACTTCATCGTTTTCGAAACCAAAGCCATAACGCAAGCATCACGCGGAGAGGCGTGATGAATCACCATCGCGATGCAATCTTCCGGCAATGTATCTAATCTCGCCGCATCGTTCTGGCTACTTCCTTCGCCGAGTTGACTTTGCTCCATAGCTTTTTCTAATTTAAAATGTTTGAAATCTGATGTGTGTTTTTTTTAAGTAAGATAGTTTCAGATACGGATGTGGTGTTCTGACTTGGACGTTGTTTTTATATCGGTTTCGTGTAAGACTTTACCGATTAAGATTTGGATTTTCCGATAATACCCCTGATCCGCGTAACAACCTTTGTATCTTAATCAGCCGAAGCAACAACTAAAGTTTCCATTAGTACAATTGATGATAGAAGATTAGTAGTATGTTATTAGAAGCAGTATGATACAAATTAAAAATATGTTATTTTTAGATATAAACCTAATCTTATAATTGTTAAATAAAATAAATTAACTATATATAATTTATATATAATTTTATAATAAAATGTTATTTATTGGTACAAGAGTATATAATTCACATATAAAATTATCATAAAATTTAATATATGATAAAGAATTTAATTATTTCTAACTAATATAGATACATTTTTATTTTATTTTATATACAGATGTTTATATTTATGTTATATAAATATATCTTAATTTATGGTTTGTTGTTAAAAATAATGAATGATATATGTAATTATATAAATTATATTATATTTTGTTTGTGAAACATTATTTATTTTAACAAATTAAAATATTTAATTTCAAATTTTATTTTTAGATACATACATAATTTCTATATTTTTAAATAAAATAAATTAGATAATTATTTTCTATTTTTATATATTCTAACTAAAAGCTGACCAAAAAAAAATATTAAACAAAGAATATTTGGAAAGCATTAGCATATTGTAAATGTCAATCTAAATGATTAAGAGCATTATATTAGTGCTCTACCAATCAAGGTCTAAATTTTCTTTCGTGTTTACCATGCCTATGGTGGTCATATTTAAAATGGTTGTACTTGAGTTTTTTTTTTTTTTTTTTGAACGGGGTTGTACTTGAGTTTTGATTATCAACGTCCATGAAGAAAATGTCATCTGCACAAGCCTACCATTTGACGCCAATGGAAATGTGATCGTGAAGACTTTAAATGTTCGGTTTGGTTGAATCAGTTTCGAGGTAAATATATTCGATGTTTTTGAGAAATTTGAAGGAACTTGGACAAATTTTGGTTACATTAAGTCTTGTCATTCAAACATTAGTACAAAAGATAAAGAGAGATCCCTCAACTTCTTGTTTTGCATATCACCCAACAACAAAATGTTGGAACTCTTAGTATACATGAAGCAGCCAATACAACAACTTTAAAATCTGTTTCAGATATTGTGGAACTTTGATCCCTTAGTAGTGACCATTTCTTCGTTCTTCTTTCATGGGCCTAATCTCGACTCCCTGGAAAATCATAGCACTCTTCAAATGTCCCTTCTGAGTCTCCATAATAGAAAACTCAATCTCATCACCATCATCATCATAACCATAACCACCATCTTTAATATAAAACTTCCCAAGCTTAACTTCACTCCACCCATCTCCTCTCACCTTCGGTTCCTCCGCATTCCCACCAGCCTCCCTCAGACGCCTCATCCTATCCCCTCTACACACCCGTGTAAGCGAAACACTCGTGTAACGATAATCACTGGGCTGATCCATAATCATATCGATTGTTTCGAGTAACACAAACGTTTTGGTAGCATCTTTCCCCAAAAACCCGACTTGAGCTTCCATGGGCATGTCTTCGAAACCGTATGATCTACCGCCCGCTCTCCTGAACACTAAGTAGACAGAGTAATGTGTCCCCTTGGACAAAATTCCACAACTTATCTTGCCCCGTATCTCGAACCAACACACGTCACGAAGTGAGTCCAAAGAGACACCGGTGGGATTCACAACAAAAGTGGTGACAAGAGAAGAAGAGGATACTGCAACAGGGGGAGCAACGACAGTGAGAAGCCGATCGTCTGTAGTTTGCAGTAACTGTGGTAGAGGTGGACACGAGAAGAAGGAATGTTGGCAGATTATAGGGTTCCCTGAGTGGTACACAGAACGAAACCAGAATGGAGGAAGAGGAAGCAGAGGAGGAAGAGGACGTGGTAGATATAACTCCTCTCGAACGAATGCAGTGCAGGCTCAAGGAACTTCTTCGCAAGGATCATCAGGAAACCAGACTTCATCCATACCACAGCTTACTCCTGATCAATGGGCATCACTCTCAGCCCTCCTTGAGCGTCAAAAGTCATCTCCAATACCAGATCGCATCACATGACAGGGGATAGGACACTTCTCAGTGACGTCCATAGCGTCATTCCTTGTCCAGTGAGCTTTGCAGATGGTAGTAATGTCATGGCTATCAAGAGTGGTAACTTGACACTGTCATCGAGCCTGACATTGGAAAACGTTCTTTATGTTCCAAATTTGAACTGTACTCTGTTATCAGTGGCTAAGTTACTTAAACAGACTGGTTGCTTAGCCGTATTTACAGACACATTGTATATTTTGCAAGACCGTTTTACGAGGACTCTGATTGGAGCCGGTGAAGTTAAAGATGGTATTTATGTTTATCGGGATGTCACGGTGATGAGAGGTCACAAAGTCAAAGCTTCTGAAGATCAGGCTGTGTGGCATCGTCGTCTAAGGCATCCTGCTTAATGTTGTTTTGAGTTTGTTGCCTTTTATTTCTGGTGTTAAAGACGTTCCAAACAAGTTTGGTGGATGCAACATTTGTTTTCAATCAAAACAGACTAGAGAAGTGTTTCCTGAAAGTCTTAATAAAAGTTTGGGAATTTTTGATTTGATACATGTTGATCTTTGGGGTCCCTATCGCATACCTTCATCGTGTGGGGCTGTGTATTTCTTAACAATCGTGGATGATTTCTCCAGAGCTGTGTGGATTCATCTCTTACTTGAGAAGAGTGAGGTCAAAAGAGTATTCCCGAACTTCATTGCTCTTGTACACCGACAGTTTGGCAGCATGGTCAAGAAGGTGAGAAGTGATAATGGAACAGAATTTATGTGCTTGACAAAGTATTTCAAAGAGAAAGGAATAATGCATCAAACATCTTGTGTTAGTACTCCTCAACAGAACGGGCGCGTGGAGAGAAAGCATCGCCATATTCTAAATGTCGCACGATCAATCTTGTTCCAAGCCAATCTACCGGTACGTTTTGGGGGAGAGAGCGTCTTGACAGCAGCATATCTTATAAACAGAACTCCCACGAAGGTGCTTGGAAGAAAGACGCCTTATGAAGTTTTGTACAAGAAAGTTCCCATGTACGATGACATCAAAACCTTCGGGTGTTTGTGTTTTGTACACCATGCAAGGAGAGATAAAGACAAGTTTGGGATGAGAAGCAAGAGGTGTATCTTTGTGGGATATCCATTCGGGAAAAAGGGCTGGAAGCTGTATGATATGGAGAAAGGAGAGTTTTTAGTGTCTAGAGATGTGGTGTTTGAGGAGACTAGTTTCCCATTTACAGAACAAAAAGAAGCTGAGAGTAGTGTTCTTCCTCGACTAGACCTTGGAGTTCATGATGAAGCTGATCCAGAAGTAACGATAGAGAGGGGGAGAAGTGGTAGTACTCCCGACATCAATGCGGAACAAGCTGGAGAAACAGAGGATGTAAGTGTGCAAGAAGCAGTTCAGCCGGCTATGTCAGAGAATGTTCCTGGAGCTTCTCAGCCGGTCGTGATGGAGGAGCTAGGGCGCGGTCATCGTAAACCTGCTCCATCAGTTAAACTTCGAGATTACGTCACATATAATGCACGAGTATGTCCTGATAAACAAAATACCATCACCGCTCTTCAATCAGAGGCACTCTCTACGGTTCCAGGTAAAGCAAAATGTTTGTATCCCATTACAGATTATACCACTGATGAGAATTTTTCAGAACATCATAAAACCTTCCTCGCCGCTGTAAGTGCTGGAGTAATTCCGAAAAAAATACAAAGAAGCTTTTGCAGATGAAAGGTGGAAGAAGGCCGTGAAAGGCGAAGTTGATGCTCTCGAAATAAATAGAACATGGGATGTAGTGGATTTGCCTCCAGGAAAAAAACCAATTGGGAGTAAATGGATATTTACCATCAAATACAACGCAGATGGGACAGTAGAGAGATTCAAAGCAAGACTTGTATGTTGTGGAAATCACCAGATTGAAGGAGAGATTATGAAGAGACTTTTGCACCGGTTGCGAAGATGGACACGGTGAGAATACTATTGGAAGTTGCAGTGGCTAGACAGTGGGAAGTTCATCAAATGGATGTGAGTAATGCTTGGAAACTGCAAGCAGCATACAGTATCTCATTCATCAAATGGTTGCCTGGAAAACAAAGAAGCAGGATACAGTATCTCATTCATCAGCGGAGTCGGAGTATAGAGCTATGGCAGATGCACTGAAGGAGCTCAAATGGTTGAAAAGGTTGCTGGCGGATTTAGGAGTAAAACATGAGAAGCCTATGGACTTGTACTGTGTTAGCAAGTCAGCCATTTATATTGCTGCGAATCCTGTCTTTCACGAGCGCACAAAACATATAGAGTCAGATTGTCATGCTGTGAGGGATGCAGTTAAAGCTAAGCTTATCGCCACAAGACATGTACAGACGTATGAACAACTTGCAGACATATTAACAAAGGCGTTAGGGAGCACTGCATTTTACTACTTGTTGTCCAAGTTTGGAGTGTACGATTTGCACGCTCCAACTTGAGGGGGAGTGTTGAGAATATCTAGGATAAGGATATTCTATGTATAAGTTAGATTACGATAAGTACTAGCTATATTTGTGTATATCTTGGATCTGTCGAGATGTATATATACTTGTACGTTAGTTGATGTGAATAACAAGAGATCTTCTCATACTTCTCTTGATCTTTCAGCTTCGTGTAAGACTTGCGGATTAAGATTTGGATTTTCCGATATACCCCTGATCCGCGTAACAGCCTTTTCTTTCGTGTTTACCTTGCCTATGAATTACTATTTCTTAAAGAGGGCCATTAAGTATTAAATAGATGTATGCTTTCTGTATTATTCTGAAAGTTCATATGATTCATGAATCTTTGTTCTGTTATTCTAAAGTGTGACAAAAGCATTGTCGATGACAAGCACAAACATAATTTCTACTTTGAAAACCAAAACCACAAGTTCAAGAACATTACACAACATCAAAGATTTTCACTTGCTAAGGGTTTTGGCATGGCCAGGTTTGTAGGAATATTATTCATTTTTTTTCTTGGAGTTGTAAATAAGTTACTATTAGTATTAGAAAATGTTTAGTTCAAAATGAAGCATTTTAGAACACTAAAGTCTACACAAAACATTAATTGTAGATGGGAAGCAAAACAAAACATTTTCTTCAATGATATTTTGTTCATCTGAAGATGATGAACATCAGTGTTACAAAAAAAAAAAAAAGATGGTGATTGGTGAACATCAAACTCAAAATGATACATTGCAATCCAAAACCTTAAAGATCCCAAAACATTACGATACAGTAAAGCTTTTCACTTTGAAACGAAGGCAGAGAGACATAAACCATAAACCGTAGTGCATGAAACCAGATCTAACTTTACGTGATTTTGCCATCGTAAATTTTTTCTTTTTTGCTAAGAACTTAAATATCATTAAACATGGTAATGAAGGTCTGTTACAAGGATTTGCAATCACATCTGCAACAAGACCATTCAGATGAAGAGGATTTGCATGGTAAAATTTATAAGAATACAATTCATCTTTTCATTTTGAAATTAAACTCTTTTACTGTTGGTGAAGAGTAACTTTAAAAATGAAATTGGGATACTACGAAAACATTGATAATAAAGGGAGAAACACACAATTTATTTATTGACTTCATCATGTGATCAAAATCAAACCATGCAAGCATTAAATCCAAACACTTGGAAGTTTTGAAAACATTACAATACAACGAGGCGTTTCACTTTGCTTAGACATGAAACTGAAACAAACAAGCATAAACAGGAAACTGCATATAGCTTGTCTTACTGAGTTTTCGCGGGGCGAAATTCAAATCCTTGAATGATCAAACCACGTTTCCAATAAGGAGACTTGATCTCAACAACACTAACCGAGATATCCTCACAACATGATTCATTATACAGCTCACCAAGCTCAGCTTCCATCCAACCATCTTCCCTCTCCTTTGGTCTAGTCACATCTCTCCTTTCTCTCTCCCTCCTTCGACCACTAGGCCCAACAAAGTATATCAACTTTTGAGAAGATTCTTGTCCAACCAACCCAACTCCAGCTTCTACCGGGATATCACCCAATCCAGGACATCCGTCCTCTGTCTTGAACACAATGTAAACCGAGTAACGAGTTCTTGGAGATAGGTAACGAGTATGCATCCCAGCACGAATCTCAAACCAACATACGTTGAGTAGCTCTGCTATTTTCTCAAACCTACATTGCAACATTTGTTTTTTTCCCATCATCAGACACATAATCATAATAAAAATGAGTGATTACAACCGAAAAGAGAGTAACGTACCTAGATTCAGGAACTGAAACCCATCGCCAATATTGTGGACTACTTCCCCATGTGATCCACACTTCCTTCGAAGATAACATAATACATCTTTTTCCACTTCCTTTCTCTAACCAGAAGCTCTATCATTTAAAAAAAAAAAAAAACTTCAGAAAAAACTACACCAACTCCAAAGTCTAATCAGACTATTGTGGAATAAAGAAGGTTGTTGTAACTCTGTATATCTTATTAATCACGTGGTTACAACCATACATATATATACAAGAGAATAAAGTATATTCCAAGCATATTCCTTAGGAGATAAGGATTACAACAATAAAGGGGATGATTATCCTAATCCTATAATGATTAGGATAACTACAACATATGGATAAACACAAGGGAGGATAATGACTGATGCTTGGCGCCTGGTATGGATAATGACAAGCTGCTGGCCGCTTGGTCTTGGACTGGAGTGAGACTGATGTGGTCTGGTCCATTTCCCGGATATGTCCCAACCACCATTTCTCAACACTCCCCCTTGGTTGATATATCCGTTCAAAGTTCATTTCATGCTTTGGATGTTGCCTCATTAAAACCTCTCCTGGTAAAACCCAAAACCCAATGTGGTAAAAAGGGAAAACCAAGGACAGGACAAAAGAGTACAACACATGAAACTCCCCCTGATGAATACACCACTGANTGCCTCATTAAAACCTCTCCTGGTAAAACCCAAAACCCAATGTGGTAAAAAGGGAAAACCAAGGACAGGACAAAAGAGTACAACACATGAAACTCCCCCTGATGAATACACCACTGACGTGTGATCATCTTGGAACTTCTAGTGTCTCTTAATGCCTTCTGGAACTCCATTAAGACATGGTCATGTCGTGCCTCTCATGTAACTGACCATTCTATGTCCTGGTTGGACTGATTTCCTTGTTGGACTGGTCTCCTGGTCGGATGGTACTTGACCAGTACTTGGATGGACTTATGATCTGCATACAGCCATTGTTTGCAGGCCCATCTCATATCCCATTATGTCCCACGGATCCACTGATCATATGGCATAGCCATTTCGTGGACATACTATATAGAGTCATAGACCAAAACATATATGAACCATCCTTAGGTTCTCATGGACACGCCTAGTCCATTTGGTCATACATCAATTGTATGTGCTAATGGTCTTGTCCATTATGGTCGATATCCTTTCCTATCCTTTGGGTAAGTTCATGTTGGGTAATAGACCTTAACTATCACGTCCATAACCTTATGAGTTACCTCACCAGTTGCTGCAATGAATATTATGATCACATCAAACCATGGATCTGCAGCAAATGCTCATGGACCTTTATACATGACTTATCGACCTTTCTTGCCTTTAGCAATACCATATCCATTAGGACTTAACCATGCCTACTTTTGGTCACTCTTTTGGACTCTTATAGTTTTCTTTATCCATTAATACAAAGCTTAATGGTCGTGCCTTCATTCTAGTCCCACACTATAACCTTTGTACTTAAACATCACATACCATACTTCCTTTGATGGTGTCCCATGACCTTCTTATATTAAGCAACGTACCAAAGTACATTATGGTCATGGACCTTACCCACACATGTCTTTGCAACTCGCCAATGATTGGTTATATCATAACCCAATGTTGCCTTAACAACATGACTTGTGTGTGGTGATGTGTAGATATAGTTTATACTACATTGGTTCCTTAAGACCTTTAAACTATGCACCTTGATAGCTTAGTACCTCTAGGTCATACCCACGTTTTGAACCAACATATTGGTCATCACACCATGGATGATTGGACTTAGAATGTAACCGGACCTTAGCCTTGGTCGGTATGAACTTTGGTATGGACCATACGGCTCCCTTAGCCTTTCCATACGTCCACTTCTTATGAAGTGTGGTAGTGCTGATTTCAACACAAATATCAATGACATAGTCACTGAACCATCCATCCTTTCTATGGATTAGTTTACTATACACCTTTTGTATAATACACATGGACTGATATGGATTTGTTTACTTATAGAACCATCTACTTGCAGCTGCATAATATCAGTCCATGAACAGCTTAGGAACAATGCTGTTCTTGAGAATTTCCTTTCTCATTTTCATGGTTTTCCTTTAACCATTAATCCAGTGAACCATATGCTACTTACTACCTCATTATTTGTCAACTTATGACCAGACATTTGCCAATTTCGAATTTGACTAGTAGCACCCACCACTTAGGAGTTTATCTCCTAATAATATGTTCCTATGTCTCGTGTAAGAACATGAATGCCCTGAGTTCATTTTAACCTTTTCCTCAAGGATTCATATACCCACAAGACCTTACTGGTTGATGGTGTTCCAATATGGCCAATACACACATCATGCTTTATATACTCTGAACCCCATGATTCTATGATCTATGAGTACTCTTTCATGGGTTCATGATCCTCATTCCCATTTCCATAAATCTCAAGTGCTATTTGCTTATATAAGTCTTCTTATACCACTGGTGTTAACACTCTTATATAGTTCCATTTTACTCAGACATGATCTAATCCATTTTAGATCTTATTTATCCAGGACCTTTCCTGCCTTGTAATCTTGGCGTCCCAAGCTTACATGGTCTGGTACCTTAGATGTTCACCTGGCCAGGTTTTCCTCTATGTCTGGTTAGTTTCCTTTGAACTCGGATTATATGATTCTATGCACCTTTCATATCCTTTCCGAGGTTTCTTGCTTTTGGAACTTATTAGTCTACCTTTATAGACTTTATAGCAACTTGATTATGTCTCTCCTAGGACATTAAACTCGTGGTGCATAAGCTGGTATGACATAGTCATTCATTCCTGGGTCTATGTGTCTTGCATATAGTTTTGCTAGCATTGTATGTAAGGAACTATGGTATACCTGCAGGTCTTACAATATAAGATCAGGCAGGATCTTGCCAAGACACTGATGGTTAATACCATTGTTTTATCCAGCTTATATCTTTCTCATTTCCATGTTGGATAGTTGGATTTACTTCCTTATGTAATCCATGTACCTTGGCCACTTTCCAATCACCCATATTTGGCTCAAGGTTTATTAAGAGAAAGACTTTATAAATATCCAACATATATTCCCATTCCCAATCCTCAATCCTCATTTGAGGTTCCATCTTATATGGCACATTTTTCTTGTGGTGGTTTAAATCTCTTAAGATTGTTTATGTCTGATCCATGACCCTTATCAATCTGAGATGGGAATATCTATGCTCACTCATATGGCCTGATGCATATCCTTTTTTATACATGTATAAGATGCATACAAACTTGGCTCGGATTATATTTTAGTCGAGATGGCCAGGTTGGCCGCATATGGCCTTACTCGGCTAATTCCGGCCAATGGCCCCATTCGGTTCTGTGCTCACAGCCGCTCACTAAATCAATAGCTACACGCACCGGCTTCCCAGACACAAATGGCCTGCTGGCCCGTCCAGCCT